GCATTGAGATTTAATTTCTTTTGATAGTATTTTTGAATACTATGCGTCTCTATACATAATTTAAATCACTTTTCCTGTTAAGTTTGTGTACTTACATACATTAAAATACGATTTTTCAAGTGTACGAATATTTATTTCCCCCCACTGTAAGTCACGTCTTCAAGATGAGACTCATCCTAATTTTGTTCTCATCAATCTGTCCATTAGGTATATTCTAGCACGGTTCTCCCCGTGCTAAAATCATAAAGAATTTCTTATATAGATTGTACTTAACATATTGATAAAAACTCCTTAAATGCATTCCTAACTAAAGTTAGAGCAATTATCAAGGTGACATACCACACAATAAGGGCAGGGAAGATGGATCTTTTTCAGGCAGGTTGGGATTTGCACCAGCATGTAGAAGGCTCGCCAATATTTCTTCCTGAACAAATAAAAATTTAGTGGAGTGAATTTAAGATGAAGTATCAGGACAAAACAATAAGAAACATCTGTTCTTATACAGAAAAATAGCATTCAGCAACATAGGAGCAAAATTAGGAGTCAACAAAAAAAGGCAGTTCAAGACCAAGTTTTGGACATCATAGAGATGCGGAAGTGACAAACAAGTGTGAATATTTTTATTTAGACTGTACCAAAACATAAAGTTATTATAAAAATTCAGCAAATTTTTACTTCATATAATCAGGATCAAGCACATGAAAATAATCTTCAGAGTTAGGACTGTTTCATGTTTAGTTGTAGGCAGGCCAAATTAAAAGCATATGAAACATTTCAAGACCATACTAGTCACCTCCAGGTCTGAGGCTGAGCAGTTTCTACAGAGAAGCAGCAGAGCAGTGGATCGATCATGACTCTCCATGTTTACGCACCTTTTATCTGCAATGAACATTATACAATAATGACTCTGTAATGAACCGGCCTACGACCACCAAGAAACTGGTAACCTCACCTAACAGTTTGCATTGACCATCCTTGTCTCATCTACCAATGACCAGAAGCTGAATAGGTAAACAGCTGCCCAATTGGCTGCGAAGCAATGCTTAAGGCGAGACGGGACTTATAACCAAAGGCAAGTTCCTCAAAGTTTATTAACTAACAAGTTCAACAAGTAGCCTACTACAGAGCTAAGACGCGGAGAAAGAGAGCGAGCTAGCCGAGGGACAAAGCTCTTGATCCTAGGCGACTGTCAGGTAATCCCCTGTAAGCGAGGCACCAGTACCCAAGTCGGTATTGACACAGCTATTACTACCAGCCTCGGCCTACATCAGCGCCGGTATACTTAATCTCTGCAGTCTGAATGCAAGTAGGGAATTTGCAGCCTACTCCAACAACAAAAGAAAACAAATTATTTATCAATATAACATCAGAATTTAATGGGAGGTGAATAGAAGCATCCTAAGAATTGCCTAACCAAGAAGGAATGGTCCAGGAACAAAACTAATTCCACCTCCTCAAGGGGTAGTTTTATCCTGTTAATATTTGATGCATTGGTTGATACCCTAACATGTAAATATATCTCCAACCCAAGGACATGGAAAAGAAGTGCAAGGAACTTTCAACTGCAAACAACTTGACCTCCTCATCTGTAACTTGCACTCGGTAAATGTCGGTTGAGAAAGCACTAAGCTACTACTAAGAGCTCAGTGGTGGCATGGTCAGGAACAATGTTACGAGAATGAAAAACGTCATGGGCATTGCAAGGAGCTAAAGTATGCTGCAGAATATTGCCCAGAAAGTTTAGAACAGAAGTAGAATCTCTGAATAACAGCTGTAAAATAACAAAAACAAGCAAATGGCAATGCAAGTCCCAATTAAAAGGATAAATTTAGATTGACAAGTTCAATTTTTAGTAAATTGGGTTTGAACTAGTTAACTTGAAATTCTTCTCCAAAAGAGTAGCACCAACATTTATATTTTTAATTCATTATGAAAAAAATTCAATATGTGATACTAGCCACTTTAACATTACTGGAAAATAATTCATGACTGAAGCAGAGTTTTTTCAATTCAATCTAAAGTAGTTACAGTATAGGCAGCATAGTATGCAATTTCAAAGAAAGTGTAACATCATTAACCACCAACAACAGGGCATACAGGTAAGCTATATAATAAGCTGTATATTTTATTATTGGCATTGGTTATTTCAATCGAAGCATTGGTCATCCTAATAGTTCACTCCATGAAGAAATAAAATAATTCCAAGACATCATCAATGAATGGCCCATAAGCTACTTAAGTACAAGGCATGCCATCAGAGCCTGCGTTCTGTAGTACAGGCTGGATCAAACTTCCATTTTCTACTTAGGCTTCAGAATCCTGTAAGACTTCAAGTTCTCCCTTTACTATTTTCAGTTCAATCTTTGCACAAATAATAATGAATAGATAAAATATAACTCAATTACCTGCATGCATGAGAAGTCTCTTCACCATTGCAAGATCCTTGTACAAAACAGCATAATGAAGAGCAGAGTAGCCCTGTTGGTCAGGTGTGCAGAGGTTGTGAGTGATGTCATGCCCATGACTCAACAGGGAGGCTATGACTTTCTGCAACAAAGAAATATGTTGCCAGAGGCTATAATAGCTGGTTTTTCATTCAATCCATGCGTTATTAATCCAATTTTACAAGGCTCAATGTATTTTTCTGTTCAACAGGGTCTCAAAACATGTAGCAGTTCCCAACAAGCTTGCACTGTATGCGAGACTGTAGCAACTTGTAACTTAATGACTAAATTATCACTGAATATAACCTGAAGAAGTCATATTCAGCAAGAAATGAAAAAGGGGAAACTAACAATTTTCAAAACAAAATGAAACTATCATAAATTGATAGAAAACAATTGTTCTTGGCAGACCTGTGGTCTGAATTAGACACACTTGTTAGTCTGGGTCACACACCATAGCCAGAACACCAATGACCAAATATACCTCATACAAGGTTGCCAATTCACCCCTAAGCTTGGTGAAGCCCAGTAGCCAAAGTCTATGAGTTATGGAAGAACAGGTTATTCATACCATCCACACTGAATATTGCCTAGACACTCTCTAGTAGCAAAAACAAGTTTAGTCACAACAATCATGACAAACTGGATGTTGAGGCTTCTTACAAAAACTTCAGGACAGAAACAAGAATGGATGGCCAAGGTCAACAGTGAGAGATCTTAGATATTAGCTATAAAGGAATATTATATATTAATAACATTTGAAGAATTGGACTCATCACTTATACATTTGTACCTAACTTTGAGACTTCTACTAGACAAGGAACTGATCAATAATTCATAATTGCAAAAATCATCTCTCCCAAGAAGTTCAAAACCAATAAAGTTAGAGCAAGATGACTCAGCTTAGATTAAATAAATATTACATCTACTGGTAATTTCTCCATGCCTTATCCTTGCTAACAGGGTTGCAAAAAAATCTTGTTTTTTTAAATTGCTCAACCCACCCAAAATTTATTAAAAAGACAATGATTTAATTTTAAAAACTCAAGCAAAATAGGTAGGTAAAACAGTTATATCTACTTATTTCACATATTTCATTTATACCTAGCTTCAACTGAGCTTTTATTTAAATTGTTTTAAATTGTTTTTATTTAAATTGAACTTTTATTTAAATAATTGTCCAATCTTTTAACAGTAAACTTGCGATGCATCATTAACATGATATAACACTATTTAAAACAGTGACATATCTCAGTCAGAGACTACAAATCAATGGTAAAAATATGTATTGAATCAATTAACTCAGTATAAGTTCTTAGCTGTTGTCTTGTTTCTCAAGACTTGTTCTTGTTGTCTTGTTTCTCAAGCTGTTGTCTTGTTTCTCAAGTGCAATGCTCTTCAATACCCAATGTTCAGTTTCTCCCTCAAACACTAAGAATTGAACTTTACACTTTGAACTTGGTGCCTAACCTTGAAACTTCTAGTATTGTAAATGCTCAAAAATTAACAGAATTGTATTGCTAGTTGATTCTAACTTTTTTACAGCTTGTTTTATGGAGTTATATGGCACAAAAATATCAAACATTGAGTTATAGATACACATAGTCTAAGAATAGTGCATGTTAATATCATTAAATAAATATTTTTTAGCACATTTTCTCACTTATGGAAAAATGCACTATTGTGCTTGCTATGTTCGTGCGTCCGTCCGTCCGTCCGTCTGTCTGTCCGTCCCTGACTCCACATTTTTGTTGACAAGAAAATGCGCTCTCTGTCACTCAATGCAGTGAGTACTGAGTTATATTTTTTTAATAATGTCTTTCTTTTCTATTTCACATTGAGAAACTACAGCTTGTAAATTAAATTAATACTGCTGTTGAAATGATATTCAACCAACAGTTTAGGTAGGGCTGACATTGAATACGTAGTTAAAAAAACCTTTGTGGAGTACCTATATTTCCCTCGCTAAGATGTAAATAAAATTTTTTATCATTATATTTTACAACTCTAATCAATGTAGGTTTTTTAGGGGTGGCACTATACTTATGGGGGATAAAAGTATTCAGTAAAGAAGCATAACAGATATTTCCTCAGTAGTTTCTATCCAGCATTATTATACTCTTAAGTTTAAAAATTAAAAATCAAGTTGATGCATTAATAAGTTTTCTTTAAAATCCATATTATACTCCATGGCTTCATTAAAAAAATCCTGGGTTTTTTAGGTTGAAAATCCTGCACAGGTGGGTAGGTGGGCAGCTACCCAGTGTAACCCTGCTTGTGAATGTCTTGACAAGATAGGTATTGTAGATACATGCTCATGTAATCCCTATACAGTTCAGCGGAAAGTTTCTAACACACAAAATCACGAACATCTACAGAGTAGACTGGTGTGAGGCTCACTTGGCCTTAATCTGGAGGTCTTTTGTATAAATCAGCATTAGGTATAACCTGTCAGGTCTAATTCTCCACTATACTGGCTTAACCAGACCAAAAGTTAGTCACTTGGTCCTGGTAAACATGCTATGACAAGTTGAACAGACATGTCTAATAACCTTACTTCAACCTGCTGCTGTTAAGGCTGTACAAAGGACATATATATTCCTCATTGTTCTCACAGATAAATTTCTCGAATGGTAATTGATAACAAGGTAAAAATATATATGTACAAAATAATTTGTTTCAGCTAGTAAGTATGAAATTAGAATATAATTCATCATTCATAATAAATGGAAGAAGGTGCAGAATGTACTGAATGTAGGTACTCTCTTCCTGCACTTGATACATAATCAAAAATCCAAATCATAGCAATAAAGGCAAACAAAGTATTTCAATTTTGTTCATACACAGTCTGAGGATTTCTTGAAATATAATTAAAATAATTTGAAATAAAACTCAAAATTATAGTTCAATTCCATGTGTTGGCATTTTACAGCAATATATATATGTTGTTCACACTTTTCCTAGAGTTTTCCTTGAAGAGCCTTACATACCAACAAGGTGGACAGCAGAGTCATCAATTACACTTCTCCATAGAAGGCAATCTGTGATCAATATGGCAAGAGGCAAACGATCGATATGTACAACAATGCTATGAAATTGATGTGTAAAATGGATACCAAGATAGTGGATAATGTGTAATTTAATGGAACTTGCATATTAACATGGAACATTGGAGATTATTAGCAAATAGCTTAGCAAACGGAGCAGGATTTAACACATGCATCACTCACATGGATATCAATTACACTGACAGTAATCTGTCTGAAAAAAGTAGTAACTCTACTTTCTCACACAGCTTGAATTTCAGCCTCTGCTGCTTATGAAGGCAATTGAAATAAAGGCAAATCTCTTCAACTCATGTTGGAAGTCAATTTTTGGATACACATAAACACCATATAAATCACGTACCCAAGTGTATAGCTTCATTTTAAGTCTTTTCTCATCAGTTTTCTCCATATATTGGTAAAAATCAATACTTACTTTACTTTATCACTACAATGTAATAGCATTTGGCCTAGCCAGACTTCTAAGTAAGGCAACATTGGAAAAGGTTACCAATTAATCACCCTAATGACACAAAGACATGATTGTGGTGGAGGGTGGAAGTCAATTATTCTTCTACATGCTAACAATTCAAGTCAATATGGCTGACAGTGAATGAATGTTACAGATTGTAGTGATTTACAATAGATGCAAGTATGTAAATTAGAAGATGATAATCAATATTTCATTATTCAACCAGTGACTCTACATGGATGCCACATCTAGATCAAGATGGCTGATGGATTGCTTCAAGAGATGCATATTTGGGTGGATCAAACAAACAAACTTTTTAAAAAGATTAATCCCGAGTCAACCACAGGGGATTTACTCATTAACTCATAACCCACTTTAATTTAGCAGTGGAAGTTGAATTAGTTATTACTGGTGTGAGTAAAGAGTTGCAATAAAATTTAGGGTTTATCAGGATTTTAAAATACAACTGATATGCCAATAAATGCTAGCAGACAGAGACCAGGGTTGGTGATTTTTCGATTATTTTTAAATCAAAAAAATAAATATTCTAAGATTTTTTTTATTTTTTCATGATTTTTTTCATTTATTTTATTTTTTCATTTTTTCAGCTTTTTGTCTTTTTGAAAGGTTATTTTTTATGTTGCAATTAGCCTACTAACAATAACAGTACCATATGGATCATAATGGATGGCTAAAAAGGGCACTTAATGCCTTCAATAATGGCCAACAGGCCAAGGTGGTATTTACCACTTAGGGATTTTTGGGTAACAATTATTGATAAGTCTATTCAATAGCTTTGTAAAGTTTGTATGGAGCAAGGTAATGAGCTAAAGATTGACCATTTAACTGGCTTCAATATACAACAACCCTTCAGGAAAGCGGATCTTCTAAACATTAAAGAGTCACATAACAGATAGAAGCTGATAGCACAGTGCACAACACTATCAATAGATCTACTAGTTTTATGTCCTATAAATCTACCAGACTCTACCCTCTAAACACACCAACTAGTACCTAGTGACTGAGTGACTGACTGCACTGTGCTCATTTGATTCAGACCAATTAACCAATACCTACTAAACATAAGCTGAACAACAACCAAACAAACCTCAAACGACTTGACACAAAACTTACATATGTTATGAGAAAACCTAACACTGTTTGAATTAAACATGTAAACAATTCAAAAAATTTATTTCCATTGACTGCATATAACTATTTTATATACGTATAGTTATAATTGTTATTGTTTTGTTTCTAGTTATAAATTCACATATTTAAAAATTATAATTAACTATTTTAATTAGAATACTCATATTAGAGTGGAAAATCTTTCTAAATGCCTAAAAGGTCAATACAATCTCAACCAACCCTTCTTATGTAAGCTAGCTAACAAATGTAAATTGTATAATGTGATTAATATATAACAAATAGTCAAAAAGTTAGTTGAAAACTGCTTATAGCCATATAAGAATAAGCTTAGCTGCTAGCTATGTTATATGTACAATGTATTGCAACACTTGATTCCTCTGTACCAAAAACATACAATTCATTGGAACATAATAGACTATGACTATAGGCAACAGGTTTATATTCCAATTTTTCATAGTAAATTTATACTTAATCATGAATAACAATACCTCAAAATAAATTGAAGATTGCCATTCAATATATTTAAATATAAAAAAAAATTTAAAATATATAAAAAAATTGAAAAAATTGCTTTTTTTTATAAAAAAATCAAGTGATTTAATCACATGATTTAATCAGTTTGATTTAATCATTGCCAACCCAGTTGCGAATAGCACATGAAATTTTTTTATATGCCTTTAGATAGCCCTCACAAAGAGCTTTAAAATGAGCCCAAACTTGTTTATGAAATGTTTCATGGTATCATGGTAAGTTATTAATGAAAAATGCTCAAAACTGTCCCTTATTACCCCGTTTGATGGTGCACTTATGTGCCAATTTAACATTGAGATGGCATGCTTTAAAGCTTGAAAGATGCCAATATTTTAACCTAAAAGGCCTTACAGAATAATTAGGGCTGAATTCTTAGAGAAATTTTAGATGGGTTATATAGGAACAGCTACACATATATTGGAATATCTGAAACTAAACTTTTCTTTGATAAGTCAACTGATATTCATGGATCAAGCTAGTAACACAACTGATTAATATTGAATATATTAACCACAATTCCTATTTCTGAAATTTCTACCTAATTAATGGCCATACAATCAATATTCATAGTTTTATTTGCTTCAAAAATTTAATTCTCCTTGTGGAACTCTTTTGGCTCTTTAAATTGTATAAAAGCATTTTATATTGATTAAAAATAATTTTCGATTTGCATCAGGAGATATTTTCCACTCAGAAGGCTACTTTCATTTTAAAAATTTTAATTCCATAAAATTTGATTTAAAAACATTTCCCTGGAAATGCAAGATAACACTGAAAAATGGTAGAACAAATTTTTACTTACCTCCACATTCTCAGCACTTCTTGACTTCACAGCTTTGGTTATGATCGTGCAGTCCTGCACGTCAAAATTTTCAAAGTTCATTGACATTCTGCTAATCAATTATTATTATGATTATTTGTGCTAGGTTGGAAATGAAGTCACAAGTTGATCACTTGTTGAACCCTCACTTATCTATGGTTAATTACATTAACATAATTCATCTTCTATCTTTCAGCTTCATTATTCTGTTCACATATTCAAAAGGAAGACACAAGGAAGTTGGTCAATCAGTTCAAGTAGTCATCACTCCAATTATGGAGTGGTGGTAATTATGGTAATTGCCACTGCCAGAAAGTACACAAAGCAAAGCAAAGCCAGCACAGACATGCAAGCAATACAAAAGGCATGCATTCTTGATACCTGCTGACCAAAATCATATCAATCACAAACAAAGGGGAAGTGTTCTATTAAATCTTCAATTACTAAATGCAGGCACATGCGACAAGAGTATAAGTCATGTCAAAATGATATTGTAGCTGTTTGACTATTGTTATGAGGGTGTGATGAACTCGTCATCAGGTTGCACTAGTGACTAGTGTATTGCAACTAAATGATTTTAATGGGGAATTAAAGTTGGTGTTTTCTAAGTTTTATTAAACAGAGTTAAAACAAAGTTACATAGTTTATTACATGGGATCAGCAGCTTATGAGACATCAAGGATTGTGCCAAAATGAGTAGTTAAGAAATTGCAAATAGAGAGGAACATGGACAGGTGATGATGCCTACTCTAGGTGCAGATAAATTCAATGCTTTGATCAGACTATTGCACTTGCTGGTTGAATTTTGGTAATACTGTAATTATGTAATATTGCAAAGAAATAGAAAAAAGAACAATATTAACTAACACAAAGAAAAATTAATGCTCCACCTGCCCACTCAATATAATACTAAAAATGATAATAAAGATCATGTACGCAGGAAGGTTGTGCTATAAAAATAGTATTTACAACCCCCAGTAACAATATGATATGAACAAACCCCAACATAAGCCAGACAAAGACAAATCAAAGCCACTACACTATGACTGGCAACCCTGCATCAAGATGATGGACCAGCATTTCTTCTGTATCTGTAAGCTTACAGGACTGGGCTTGTAATTTTGCACCTATGTATTTTATTGGGTCAAGTGAATTCGTTCTAACAAAAAAATCATAAAAAACATACTTGAAACAGGAAGGAATATTTTATCAACAACCATCATATTTTTTGGAGAAATGAATCATAGTTTAGGTTAATTACTTTTCATTCTATGTTGCCTGGTGTTGCCTGATAATAACAATTTTGTTATTATCAATAATGCATTAATTTTTTTATAACGTGAATATTTTTCTGCTAAGCTAGGTAAATGTAATGAAAATTATTTGTTGTCGATATATTTTTTTTGTTAACTGGAGCCTTTGCTAACCACAGTTCTACTGTAAATGCATTTTTAGTGGTGTCCCGTAACCTGTATTAACCCAGATTAGGCCAGATAAGTAATCCTCATTACCCTGTCATACCAAATGGCTTTTGACCACCACTTTGTTCTGGATTGAGGTATGAAAATTCTGTCAATAAAGTTTTAAGGGGAGTGTCTAGGGTAAAATTTTGGATTTTGGCTTTTCCGGTTTTTAGTCTCATGTAAAAGCTGACATTCTGATCTATCCAACGGTACCAAAACCATCTCTGTACGTTGATTTATGCTTTCACGGCAGATCATGAAAGGGAGGGGGGTGGGGTAGTTCTTTAACAAATAGAATGGGAGGAAATTCGCTGCGAGCACTTTAAATAGAGTGTCTGCTTGAAGTGCACCTTAGTTACCTGCCTGGCGTCGTATGAGGAGGTGTGCATGCAGTCGCTCCCACCATCCTTGACTGGAATCAAGCTCCAGTAACGTTTAACACGAACAAAAATGTCTTAGAATTCTATTTTACATATGTGTACCAAGTTTCAGAGTGATCCGTTTGTAAATAGCCGAGATAAATTTTACCCTAGACGCTCCCCTTAAAGCTAAAGCTGACACCTGTCAGCAACTTTTTTTCAAACACAATTTTTTAATACAGCAAATATTTTTTTAATACAGATCATGGCACAAGCATGGAAAACCTCTGCCTTTATGGCCACAACTAGCCAGGGTGCAGAGGGTGCAAACAGCGTCGCCAATATATGGATTTTTAGCCCAAAGCATCGCCAGCCATTTTCAAGATCCATTGCCAGGTAATTTTTATAAGAAAATGCTGCTAAAACTTTGACAGTATATCTCTTACTCTCCACGCACTGCATTATTGAAACTGATTCCCGGACAAGATTCTCTGCATCCTGATCCATCCAATGTACAGGAAACCTTACTGTGTGCACCTGTGATCTTCCAGATTTACAATAATTTCAAAGTAATTTCTGAAAGGCAATAATTTAAATCCAAATGGGTTGGCAAGATCTTCTGAAGGCATAAATTTTGCTGCTGATGCATTGCCAATAATCTTTTGATATTCACCCACTTTCTGCACCCTGGGAAACTAGAGCTTTCCAGCCATTTCTGGAAATGCTAGATTTCTGCCAGATCCAGGGTGCAGAGAGTGCAAGCAGAATCGCCAAGATATGGTTTGGTTTTTTTTTTTGCCCAAAACGGTGACAGCTATTTGATAAAGTGCTGCAAGCAACTTTGATGGTATATAGTCAGATGGGGTAAGACAGGACCGAAATCACTAACAGGCATGTAGCATCTATACCATGAATAACTAAAAAATCCTAAATTTATCACAAGGTGCGGTTATGCAATGGGCTTCAAAGCTACAACTCAGACTTTTTGCATACAACACAGTTTTCTGTACAGATTAAAAAAAGTGAGCTGGTCCCATCTTACCCCATTGGGGTAAGATGGGACCAGGCTGGGGTAAGAAAGGACCAACAGGTAATTCTTATGTTACAAGGTTTTTAGTCAAAATATAAATCTGATATTCAATATTATCCATCTAGAAACACATTATTTGATTAAACAACCACCTGTTACTGTTTTGTGTTGCAGGAAGTAAACTCCAATATCAGTCACATTGGAGTGTTTGCCATGAGAAAACTTTGTTAAGCATAGAAATAGTAGGTTGGCTTTGATTCATTGTAGAGCACTGCCAAATGCTACAGGTATATTCCATTAGTTTCATTATCTGAAAATTTATCAAATTGGTAATAAAACCAATGGATAATAACTTAAGAGTCAGACGTCATGTGTTTTCTTGCTAACTGCATTTGTGATGCACTTCTTCAAACATAGCCCATGCGCTCTCACAAAATTGTGATAATAATTATTTTTTATGTTTCACACAACGATTTTTCCCCCAACCACTCTTGCACATTGTTCTGCAGCTAACTAATGGGAAGAGACATCCCCATTTTCTCCATCCCCATGATGCAATTCACAATAGAATGCTAAATTTATCTAATTAAAAAAGCTAACAAGTTAGAATGGTTATTTTAAGCAAAAGATGAAAATTTTGACCAAAATACTCCATGTATACTTATGCACAATGATATATTCATTTAAAAGCTATTTTTGATAAACTATGGGGTAAAAGAGGACCATTTGTGGGGTAAGACAGGACCATTCATGTGGTAAGATAGGATCACTTGTGGGGTAAAACAGGATCATTTAGTGGTCCCGTCTTACCCCATGTTGGTCCTTTTTTACCCCATTTTAGAATAGTTGTCAGGCAGTGATGGTAGCAGGTAGGAATGCCTAGTATGTCTCAAAAGTTGCTTATTACTTGAGGTTACCTGCCTACATCCACAAACCTGGCCAAAAATTTTTTCGTCATTAGACAGAGCATATTTCCCAAACAGGGTTAACTATTTTGTGACCCTTCTTTACATAGGTTTTCTTAGAAAATTAGCCAGAAATTCATTATTTGCAGAAGAGGGTTGAAACAAGCACTGAAATGACAGGCAATGATTGCTCTAACATATTCTTTTGTCAAATTAAATTCAGTGCAATTAGAATGCATGCCATGGGCCAGTCCTTTCTTACCCCATGAAGGCTGCGATCCTGTCTTACCCCATTTGACTATATCCCTTACTATCCACACACCGCAACACTTACACACAATGCAACTGATTTCCAGACAAGCTTCACTGCATCCTGATCCTTCCAGCATACCAGAAACCTTACTGTGCGCGTGTATGGTCTTTCAGATTTCCAGTAATTTCGAAGTTATTTCTCATATGCAATAGTTTCAATCCAAATGTGTCAGCAAGATCTTCAGATGGCATAAATTTTGCTGCAGATGCGTCACCAAATTTCTTTTGATATTCACCCACTTTCTGCACCCTGGTGCCAGATGAATTGCATCCTATCTAATGGTTAACAAAAGTGCACAATCAGGATGCAAAATTTCATGTGTATTAAAAATTTATCATGTTGGAGCCGCTAGATTTCAGAAACCAGCACATCAGGGACAATCATGCCGCAACAGTCCCTTTTCACACATATAATTTCAACATTACCTGCATACAAACAGCTCAATATAATAATATAAATCACATCAATAACACACCTAGTCAATTCAATCACCAGCGCACTCTTTTCACACCATAACCAATTCACTCACCACAAACAACTCCATCATTAAGGCATATACAATATATACTCACAGTTCTATATCTTATCACTTCTAAAAACAATCAATTTCAAAAAGCCATCATTAAAATAGCACACTTCCACCAAAACAACTCCTGTAAAGAATTCCAATACTCACAGTCACAATTCATATCTAATCAATTGCAACATTAGACAGCACTCAAGCAATCATCAGCTCACTCTGCCAATATCGTATTTAAACTCAAACGCAATTCCGAAAACATCAAAAGAATTGACCACTTCCATATATTTTAAAACCTTGCCTACTCTCTCTGTATTTCACATTGTTGATTTTGCCTAAACTTGTCTAGCTTTTCCCCATCTACCATAATCTATGTAACCATAATTATTTATACCTTACCTTATCCAACCTTACCTAACCTGTACGGCTCTACTCCATCCATACTCATAATAAACTTTCCGTACTCAAAATAATGTAATTATCTCGAGCCCAACCTTACATTACCCATAATTCAAAACCCTGCGCAGCATTACCCAAACTTACTTAACTTTGTTTATTCTTCCCTAACCTAACCTAACCTAACCAAACCTAACCTAAAAGGACCTAGCCTTGTCTCTTA